ATCTCCAATTCATATTTTGCAGCCCGGGGTTATTTCTCTTGCTGACAATTCACATTCAGTGGTAAGTTGTCCATCCCTCTTTTCATTCCCTAAATTGTATACCAGTTATTACTTTTTATCTGATAGTTCCTGTTCAGAGAGTAATTGCAAAAAAAAAAAAAAAAAAAAACAAAAAAAACAAAAAAACCAGATTAAACTTATTTTTATATCTTAATTCTTTCAAAATATTTGATTGTTTCATGTTAGGAAAATTGATGACAACGTGGAAAAAATCTGTTGTGTGATGTGCTTCATCCTATTGGATTTCATTGGATTAACTTCATCATAACTATACATGTGTACAAAGGGGAGGGTGAATTATAAAAATGCAAACATTGGCTATAATTCTGTATAGATAAGAAATGTTAAAAATGTTGACACGCTGAAATTTTAAACTTTTTTTTTTTTTTTTTTTTTTTTAAATCACTTTTGATAATAGATCTACCAAAAATGGTGAAATGTAAGAATCTGGATGTAAATTTAATGATTAAAGCCATTTCTATATTCTTTCATCTTAGTAAAACAGAGACATCACTTTAGTCCAGTGATGTCCTAAAGGATGAAATGCATCACACAAAAATATTTTTCCAACTTTGTCATTAAATTTCCTAACTTTGTTCTGGTATATAAAAATTTATATATCCTATTCTCCCAAAAAATTGTTACTATTCATAATTACTGCATGTTCATCCACAAGTTTCAATTTGGGATAAAATATTATTGTCTGTGACAGGTTATAAGTCTGTTACTTGTAAACTTTATTATATTCCAATATTATGGTAATTGTTCTGATGAACTTTCTTCAGTGGTACCTAGACTTTATAAATTTAAGTGCAATATTAGATTGGCAGCAATGTCTCCTTATTTTATGGTTGAAATGGCTAGATGCAATTATAATTTTTATGCTAAAAGTTTCTTCTTTCACACTTCTCAATTGTGGAACTCACTTCTGATAACTTCTTTCTCGATCAACTTTGCATTTAAATTTTTGAAGATCAATACCAAGTGTTACTTATTGTTTTGTTAATTCCTGTTTTTTTTATTCCCTATTTCCACTATTCTCAGTAGTGTTTTTTTTTCTCCATATTCTGACACTCAGTAACCCTTTGTGACTTAGTGGCTCTGTTGTCTTGCTTGGGGTGAAATGATTAAAAAAAATAAAAATTATGTATATATGTATGTATGTGTTCACTTGATGTCTTCATAAGTGTGTATAGTACAATAGGAGACTAATATAGAACAAGTTGCTGAAAAGTCTCCTGAAACTAATTCCTGAAAATAGTCATAGAAGATTTAGCACCTAACCAATGCAATTGGGCTTAACTGGCGAAAAGAGTCTGATGTTTAAAAACCTGAAACTTTTAATGAAACCAGGCAAATATCTCAGAGCATTCAAAGAATCTATGTTAGGAATCAGCTCCTCTGTATATTTATGACATTTAAATATTGTAGGTTTTGAGTAAAATCCTTTTTGCAGGTGGGAGCAAGAAATGAATCTCTGACTTGGCTTACTATCAATTATAACAAGACTGAATGCATGGTTGTCAGCGAGAGAAATAACCCAGGCTGCAAGATATGAATTGGAGATGTCAAAATCAAGCAAGTACAGAAGTTTAAATACCCAAATATCCAGGAAGTGTTTTAACAGATAATGGTAATGTGACACCAAAAGTACATTAGAATAGCAAACTAGACCTCAAATCCAAGTAAAGTATTAACAAACAAAAAAATTCATTAGAAACAAAGAAAATTGCGCTGAACTGTTATGTAATATCAATCCTTTTATATGACCATATATTCAGGACAATTTCCACACAGATGAAGATATTTAAACTTCTGTACTTGCTTTATTTTGATATCTCCAATTCATATTTTGCAGCCTGGGTTATTTCTCTTGCTGACAATTCACATTCAGTGGTAAGTTGTCCATCCCTCTTTTCATTCCCTAAATTGTATACCAGTTATTACTTTTTATCTGATAGTTCCTGTTCAGAGAGTAATTGCAAAAAAAAAAACAGATTAAACTTATTTTTATATCTTAATTCTTTCACAACGAATAGGAAATAATATGCATACTACACACACACAAATTCAATACATTCCAACATGTATCAACAACTCCTTGATTATATTATAATATTTGTTCACCTACCAGGCAAGTCCTTTTAAATGAAACTATAGTAGTACTAGGGGGAACAATTACTGTATTAGTTTTTGTAATTTTATTGCTGCCTTGCTTTTGAATATTATCATTTTCCAAGATGGTGTTTATGCAGGGTTGTAAAACATTACAAAATGTGGAATATAATAACAAAATTAACTGGTATACATAAAATTATGCAATTTAATGTATGTCAGGATGAGCAGAATTTTGGCAATAAGTGTGCTTAATAGATATCCAGAGCAATAATTATTATCAAAAAATAAAAAACTTAAATAACTGCACTATCAACAGATTATATATATATACACACACACACACACAGTAGTGGAGTCTCCCATCAACTTCAATATATGTGGATTCAATAGTACCCATACCAATCATTTGATTGTAGCAATGATGACATGTGTGGAAACAACCACACTTTTTGAAAGAAATAATAACAGAAATGGTTCACACTGTACCAGGAAATACACACACACATATATATATATATATATATATATATATATATATATATATATATATATATATATATATATATATATATATATATAGCTCTCAATTATAGCATCACATCAACTCATGAATTCCTTCAAATTCTAAAACCTATACAACCAAATGAAGACATTTTAGCATAACTCAATGTTGAAAATTTCATTGATCAAACTATCAGCGTAATCCTTAAATCCATATCTAAAAATAATTTCATTCCACTTCCATCCATCAAACCAAATATCCTCAAAAAATTATTGCATGCCTGCACAACTGAAGTCCTTTTCTATGACCATAATGGCAATATCTACACCCAAACTAGTGACGTTAGTATGGGGAATCCTCTTGGCCAATGCTTCTCCAATTACTACATGTCCCATGAAGAAAATACAATATTTAAACAAATCACTAAACCCAAAATATATGTCTGCTATGTAGACAATATTTTTATTTTAGTGAATAACAAACAAGAAATTGATAATTTCAAAACCGTATTTAAAAAAAAAATGTCCTTAATTTGACCTATGAACTTAGTCAAAAAAATAAACTCCTATTCTTGGACATTCTCATAGAATTCAGTAGTAACACATTCACCACTTCATTATACAAAAAATGCACTAGCAGAAACTCTTGCCACCTTAATTTTAAGAGTGAGTACCCACTTAGATATCAAATAATAGTTATAAAAAATTTCCTAAAGTGAACACACAAGAATTCATCCTCTTGTCCCATTTTCCTTAAAGAACTCAATAATGTAACAGACACTAGTTAACAATGGTTTTCATAACTACCTCATCAAGCACCAGATTCGACTATTTCTTTCTAAAGTAACTAATAGTGATACTGAACATACAGACACAAACAATAACATTAACATCTACAAAAGCCAAATAGATATCAACCATAAGTATGACAAATTTTATCTTAGAAATATCGTAAAGAAATACATAAACCAAATTGGCTGAACAAGAAAATTAAATTATCTATTACAAAAAATTTAAAAGATCTAAATTTATCTTAAAAAATGACAACACACTTGCAAAATCAAAACTGCAAAGAACCAACATTATTTACGAGTTCAAATGTCCTTGAAGGAACTGTGATTGTGATCAAACAAAACTCATAAATAATTACATTGTCTTATCTAGACAACTTATGTTACACCTACCTGACCATAGCTCAATTAGGACTCATTTAAACACACAGAAACTTACTAAACTCCATCCAAAACATACTAGTAGAAAATACAAGTATAATAACCTCATCCACATGTAAAAAAAAAAAGATTAAAGATAATAGAAACCCTAATAAAAAAGGAAAAGCCAACATTCAATAACATTAACTATGAACATGGCCACAATTTGCTGACCATGTTTGAAAAATAAAACATTCCTATAACTTCTGACGCATACATAAAAACCTCACATTTAGTTAAAAATAGAAAATGAACAACAAAAAGATCACCCTTGATAATGGCTAATCTTTAATGAAACATGTATAAAAGAGGGATTGCTACCCAAATACACAATTATCAGATAGATAGATAGATGAAATGGAACAGTTTTCATGTGATATGTTTCATCATTTTGAACTAGAGTGATATTTATGTTGATGCAACTACACATGCACATGAAAGAGAGGGAATGCTGAGAATTTAGAATTTAATTTTTTTTGTGGGGTGGGTATATAGTCTAGCCAATCTCATTTTGTTCCTTTTTCTTTTTGTCCAGGTTTCCATCACTTTTATAATTAATCTTAATATATAAAAATTTATATATCATTTTGTGATATGAAATAAACCAGTATGATTGTCAGGTATATTAGAACACTTAATCAATGTTATAGTATTTATAAAAAAATTAGATTGGACTGAAAATAGCCATGTAAGTTACAATGACTACCTGAATTATAAATCAGTTTTACAAGTACATTGCTAGCAAGAGATGGCATGTGTTATGAAATGTTCAACCACTATCTTGATCAAAATTCTTTAGCCTGAACTTAAGCCATCAATATCTATAACAACATGGCTGGTTAAAGAAGCAATGTCTTCTTGAGGTAAGCTGTAACTCTCATCTCCATTCAACAGCAAGATAATAACTGCATATCAAACTGGAGCCAGAGCTTGTTCATCATTGTCTTTGTGTAAGAACAATACAAATTTGTGCTGAAAGATACATAGATAGATAGAAAGAGAGATAGAAAGTATGTATCAGGACAAGTTAGATGCTAAAATTGATGTGCTTAATGTGCTTCTTGAATTGGATATATTGTATAGAAAGGCAAGTGATCTTAAGTTGGGAGATTACTTGTGTATGTAATAAGTTGGTTGATGCTTAGCTTGACACAGTGGGCAATGAGAAGATAAAGATTTCTCTGAAGTAGACAGAGAGAGAGAGAGAGAGCTTAGCAAGTTGGGAGAAAAAGACAGAAAGGAACAAGTTGGAATAAGGAAAACATTTGAAAGAGAGAAAGCAGTAAGAAAAAATATTTTGAGAAAGAAGGAATAAAATGAAAATATCGAGGCTAAATGGAGAAAAATAAAAGAGAGATGGTAGGGGATTATAACCAAGGAAACAAAGTTAGAGAAATAGAGAGAAAAAAAAAGAGAGAGGGACAGAAACAGAGAGTAGAAAAGAGAGAGAGAGAAAGGGGGATAGAGGCTAAAAGAGAAGTGTGGAAAAAGGAACGGGAGTGAGAGAGAAAAAGAAAGACATGAAAATGAAGAATAGATGAAAGAAAGAAATAAGGAAAGTAAAATTATCTTTAGAAAACAGAGTTTTAAAAAGAGAATGAATAACAGAATTGAGGAAAAAAAGGAAGCCAAAAAGGAAAAGAGAGGGAAAGTAGACTGAAAAGGAAATGAGAGGGAAAGTCAACTGAAAAAGAAAAGAGAGCCAAAGAGAAAAAGAAAATGGATAAAAGAGAAAGATTAAAAAGAAAGAAAAGAAAATGAAATAAACTCTGAGATGAAAAGCAAGAAATAGTTGGGAATAAGAAATGGCAGGAGATTATGGTGGCACTGAGGTAGAGTTGGGGATAAAGATTGAGCCCCCAAGTTAAAAGTGTGAGTGTGCACTGTGTGTCTATTCGGATCAGGAACTGATTAAAGAGACGGGGCATTTGCCTGCAGGGACCCAAGCTGAGAGGATGAAGCAGAAGGAGGAGATGAGGTAAGAGAACCCATCAGATTATGGGGTGGAGGATGGGAAAGAATAATGTCATTTACTGAAGGTTGTAAATAGGCGAAGAGAAGCCCATGGCCTAGATACTCAATTGCGTTGCTCCAGGTCAGCATCTCATTACGTCCATTCTCGATAAGGATCAGCAGGGAGAGTTGGAGATGAGCAAGAAAAGTGATTTCTCATGAAAAATGCTCACCTTCTCTTCATCTATCTTTACCTAGCTGACTTTTTCATTTTTTTTTTCCTTTTTCATCTACTTATTCTCAGTTTTCCCCACTTCCACACTGTCATTCCATCATCGATGAGGATTCATGTTTACGGCAATAAAACCCAAGTTACAAGGTTTCAAGCTTAACACTTGCCTGCTTCAGAAGAATTTGTTTTGCAATATAGGAGCAAAGAAAAATCTTCTCATAATGTAGAGTAAAAAGTGAAAGAAAAGAATATCTCTTTGGATTTCAGAGGTTGAAAAGGTCTCCAGTTCAATTTGTGGGGAAGTTTGGCTTATTACTTTTTAGATGCAAATCACTAAATTCATTTTGGATTCATAACAGAAAAACTATTTGGCAGCAAACAAGAAAAAAAATCTATAAGTATTACTACTAATGATGTGTCAATTTTAAAAAAAGTTTGTAACACTACATCATTGTTAAGATATAATGCTCATGAAAAACTTTGATAGGATAATACTTTGAATTTAGTGTTTTTATTTAAGTATTATGATGGAAACTTGCATTTTCTGAAGAGGATCGCCATTATGCTGAACAAAAATAACTTATTATAAAATATAATTTATCAATCTATATCTATTTATCGACAATAGAAAGGTTTATTTTTATACAATGAAATTTTTTTTCTGTCTGAATTTCTGGAAGGAGGAGTTATCATTATTTACACTAGTTATAGGGACTATTGTCCTCATCTTTGCTATTATTATTACGTTTCAACTGTTGTGTCCTCCAGCCTTCTTCAGCTGCTTATTGATCCTGGTAACCTTCAAGGAATTTCAAACTGATCTCTTTGCTTAATTTACAGGGATTGCTTGTCCATGTCTAGGCATATCTCATTTTGTTTTTATTTAGTATGGCTCAGTTATTGCTCACCCTGTTTTCCCTGAGTTTAAATCTACACTGCCCATGCCAGGGACTGATCTCACTATCATTGTCAACAAATTCGTGAACCACAGGACATTAGCCTGGTGGATTAAAGTATTGGTTTGTGAATTTGGTGAAAATAATTGGGAGTTCAAATCCAAGGTGGAGTAGTGCAAACTTAGACTCAGTGGAAAGAGGGCAAGCAAAAACTGAACAGTATTAAATAAGAACAAGAAATCTCTAGAAACAGAAGAAAAACAATCTAACCCCATGGATTAAATCAGCAGTTCAACTTGAAATTCCCTAAATGGTAATGGTACTATTAGCCATTTCCCTATAAGGAAACATTTGAAATTCATTGACAAGAGCAGCCAGTACTACTTTTAGTTAAAATTTATAAAATTTTTCTCTTAAAATAATTTTTTAGGAAAATAGGTTTTTCAAGTCCGGTAGCTGTTGTTGCTCTTTCCAGTATTGAAGGTTTCCTTCTTAACCTTTTGTTTGAAGTAGTATGGAATGTCAATATCTTGATTATGTCACTTTCTCTTTGAGTTACATGTGATATCTATTTTAGTTGTTGCCATTGTTGAAAATCATCAATTATCAAGTGATGTGGTTTCTGTTATTGGTACAGTTCTTCGCGTTTCTTTAGTGCCAATCCACAAGGTTCAAAGAAAGATGGTCCTATAGGCTTCATTTACTTGAAACCATTTTTAATCACTGATCTGAGAAAGTAATTGTACAGTTTATATACAGTTGATAACACATGTAACTCAAAGGGAAAATAATGAAAATCAAGACGTTAACATTCTACACTACTTCAAACAAAAGATTAGGAAAGAAACCTCCAATACTAGAAAGTGCAATAGCAACTAGTGGACTTGAGAAATTCATCTTCTTGAAAAATTGCTTATTGGAAAGATTTTATTAATTTCAAGTGAAAGTATCACTGCCTGCTTAGTCAATGAATGCTGAATGTTTCCATACAAGGAAATGATTCCATATAAGCTAATATTAAAAAAAATCAAAACCCTTTCTATGAAAAAGATTATTTCTTCAAGTAGAATACTTTGCTAAAGGGAAATTTGAGTCTGTAGGAGATCTTCAAGATTACAGTTCCTATGTTTTTGCATCTGTTAAATGTCCAAAACAACAAGAGCAGGGAAAAAGTCTGTATTGTAAATCCAATCTCACAAACCCAAGAAATAGCAAGAAATAATTTATTCAAAAATCAGAATCACAAGTTCAATGTCAAAAGTCCAAGAAGCAAAAAAGTAAATTAAAAAAATAAAAAGGGTGGGGAGGTGTATCCAACATATGGATCATAATACAGCAAAATCACTTTCACTAACAAACAAAAAAAACCCCAAAAACAACACTCCCTTGTCAAGGAAAGTAATGGCTTTTATTGAGGAGGTAAATTTTACAATTGCTGGGGATAGTCAGGGAGGATAAAAAAAAAATATATCTTACCACATGTGAGGTATAATTTAGGCAGTAATTATCTAGGATTTTTTTTTTCTTTTTCCCTCATTTCCAAAATATTATATTTTCCTTGAGTTTATACAGGGTGTGATGGATAAATTGTAATTTGAATTACGAAAAAATCAAAATAACACTGACATGACATTTTAACAGATATATTTACCAAAATTACGCAAAAATATCTTGAAATACTACAGAGTAAATTTATTCAATAAAAAATTGCCATTGGCTTCAACCATGGTCTCCAGATGACTTTGGAATCTCCTGCATCTCTTCTGGACAGTCTCCTTGTTTAAGTTGATGAAATGCTGCCATAATCATTGACTTCAGTTCATCTTTGGTATTACAAGGAGTTTTGTTGGTCTTTTGCTCGGCTGTGCCCCTCACATAATAATCAAGGGAGTTGCAGTCTGGGGAATTAGGTGGCCAGATATAAGGGGTGATGTTGTTGCACAAATTGTCTAACAACCATGACTGGGTTCTGCTTGTGTTTTGAGTTTTCCAAGCTGCCATACCTTTGTAATCACCATTAGACACATCCAACTCTTTTCAAACCCTCTAAACTGCCCTCAGATTGACAACCAAACACTGAAATGTTCATATTGGAGCTTCCAGCACAACTGCAAGAAGTACAGCATGCCGGTTCCAAATTTCTGGCAGAGTGAATTGTATCATGATGGTTCTTTACTCAGAGACGGTACTCAACTGACCCTACTATACTGTGTATTCAACAAAATCAAAAATAAAGTGCATGCCTGAAATTAAAAATATAAAATAGCGACAATTTACCCATTGCACAAAGTAATTGAATTTTAAAACTGGATAACGGAAATTATAAACCCTATTGACAAGAAGAAAAAATGTGATGTATTTAACACTTCTACATCTTTATTAAATTTATATTGTATGATGTTGATGTATATATACATTTTCAAGATACTGAAATGTCGCTACCTAGCAAGTTATAATTTCTGAACCAGCATAGACCCATTTTATTATTTTATTATTATCATGTTAAGTGAGTCATTTAGCTCAATCTGTACTGCAGAGTATCCAATTGAAACAAAAATAGCAATGTCCATGACAAATTATCATCAGCATCTTTATAGTCATGTATTTCAGTAAATGGCAATATCCTATTTTTCCCAAAATGGGCCAATACAGTCAGGTAACACTGCTATAACAAAAGAGACATGAAAATTTCATCTTCAGTCTCATATGATTTTGAAGTATTCATTTTAAAAATAATTTGGCCCTTTAATTAATACTGGTAATTAATTTGCATTTTGGCTTATGCCTTATAGCATTGCTGAGTATGACCCATCATTGGTTATTTTTCTAAATCAAGCTGGTGCTGTCTTTGTTTAATTATTTAATATAGACTTGCTTTTGTTTCTTTCTCCCTTCATTCTTCAGGCTTGCAGTACCAATCTTCTATGTGCAAAAATGTCAATTATCAATGTATGTGCTCATATAAAATTCCAGAGATTTAAAAAAAAAAAAAATGATTCTTTCACCTGGTGAACGTGGAAACACTTTAAGGCTTGAATTTTGGATATGACTGATACTGTAAATTTAGATTAACCTAATCCTTTTACTTTCCTTACACTTCAGGTATCTTCAGGTTTTGCTTTCTGTGATTTCCATGAAAAATTCTTTGGAGGTTCCTTTTAATTGATTGATGGATTTGTTTATATATATATATATATATATATATATATATATATATATATATATATATATATATATACACACACACACACACACACACACAGATTAACCCCTTGTGGACAAAACATTTTAGATTGTAAGAATAGTCCTTTTCCTTTTGGCAACTAAATATTACATAATAATTTTTTTTTTTTGAGAATAACAGTGATTCTTCTGATTACAAGTCCTACTATTTAGCATAAAGCTGGTGGATGTGGGAGATAAGTTTCTTTTGAAAGGATTTTGAATTGTTTTCCATAGCTGAATCAATTGAGGTAGGCATAAAATTTATACTATTATTAAAGGAAACTTGACAGTTTTAACAGAAATAGACATTTTATAACAGAAAAATAAATTTAACTTGTGCATTTTTAGATTGACAACATTATTTTCAGAATATATTATTTTGTTTGATATTAGAATTTACAGACAGATGCAATTCTTGTCATTTATTTGGTAACAGGAAAAACGGGATAGAAATTAAAAATTGATAAACTGGGGAGTCTTATTTAGTCTAAGTAAATAAGAATTCTCTTTTTTGGTAAAAGTTTTTGTACTGTCAAAAAAAACAAACATTATGACCAGAAATAATTATTACAAGTTTTACAATTTTTGGTGTATTTGTTGTTTACATTGCTGTTATTTTTTACCAGCATCATAATAATAATAATAATAATAGCTAAAACACATTGACAAAGTGGGTGGTTGTGTTAATAACTCAATCCTATAAAATTGTAGCCTCAAATGCACCAGGATATTCACAATCCACTTTTTTCAAATCTAAACAACAATGCAGTTCATATATCAGCATATATATATTAGTC